TTTTGCCCGAGTGGCGCTTCCGCGCTGCTACTTCGAACTCGGCGATGCTAAGCACGCCATCCTAAGCTCACGCAGGCTTTACTGGGTTGCTGTTAAGGAACTTAATTTAAGTTACTATATTATCCCCCTATAATGGAGAATCAAATGGAAAAGAACATGGAAAATAAAATGGAAGCTGGGGGAATATGGGGATTTAAGGAACTTAAGTTAAGTTACTATATTGGGGAAACCCTACTATTTACTAGATATACCCATTATGGTAACTTAATTTAAGTTACTATATTGGGGAAACCCTATTATTTACTACATATACCCGTTATGGTAACTTAATTTAAGTTACTATATTGGGGAAACCCTATTATTTACTATATATACCCATTATGGTAACTTAATTTAAGTTCCTTAACAGCAACCCAGCATCTGTGCAGAGGGCTGGCAATGCCCAAGAACCCCCACGCTCATTGTTTGCAGCTGCTAACCTGGTCAACCACTGTCCTATGGTAGGGATTTGCTATCTTCAAGTGATCAGAACGTTTTTGGACAATGGCCTCGCAAAAGAGGATAGGAATTCAGCACCGATTATTTAAGACTTTTGAGCCTTCCGTTCCTCTGTGTTATGATGACCGTGTGCATGTAATACTTTAATACTACTAAAATTTCCACAAATCACCCTAAACCCTAAACCCCAAACCTTCAAAACTCTAATCCCACACCCCCCCAAACTCCAATAAACCTAAACCGCAATGGCCCAGCAACGGCAGCGATGCAGGAGCCTTCATGATCTCGGTCATGGTTGGGGGCTCTCCATCGAACATTATCTCTTCGGAAGCCTGGGTGGCTTTTAGGGCTCAGGGATAAAGATTTAAGGTCTAAGCGCCCACTTGAAGTCTACCTTTAGGATTAACTAATGAGTCACTGGGGATTTGGGTAGTAGTACAGGTTTGGGGCAAGTACAAGTACATGATGATGGAGTATTTGGTTATGGTTCAGAGCTTAGCAGCAGCAGATAGCAGCGCTTCCTGATGGGGCCTCCTCATGATTAATTACTGGTAACTGCATCCCTGAAGCCCCTATATTGCCCCTATATGACCCCCATTTCATGCTCGAATTTCTTTCTCATTTCATTCCCAATCTAGTGACTTGATACCCTGAACCCTAAAAAGTACATGACACCTACAAACCCCTTTGGAAACCCCTTCAGACGGAACCTGTCACCTTACCCTAAACCCTAAACCCTAAACTCTAAACCCTAAACCCTAAACGGAACCTGTCACCTGAATCTGAGTTCCTTAACAGCAGCCGAGAAGCGGAAGCTCCGGCCTCAAGGAGTAAGCGCACCACTGTTCGGTGGCCTTGCTGGGTTGCAATACCTGGGTTGCTGTTAAGGAACTTAAAGTAAATTACCATAATGGATTCATGTGTATAGTAAATAATAAGGTTTCCAAATTTCACCAATAGAGTAACTTAAATTAGATTCCGTAACAGCAACCCAGACACGCAGGGGCGTGATCCCCTTTGACGTAGCAATTTTGGTGTCCGCTCCGACATGGCAGAGCAGGCGAACCACTTGATGATGACCTTCTTGGGCTGCGATGTAGAGAGGGGTGGCGCCTTCAATCCCGACCTGATCCTTATCTGCCCCTGCTTCCAACAGCAGCTTTGTCACTTCCACTTGGCCGCTGTGCGCTGAGAGGAAAAGAGGCGCAGTCCCAGGCTGGGAGGAGTTTAGTGTTGCACCAGCCTCTATCAACAGCTGCACCACATCTAGGTGGCCTTCATGAGATGCCAACGACAGAGGTGTGTGGCCAGTCTTGGTGGCCTTGTTCTTGTCAGCACATGCCTGAAGGAGTAGTTGAACCATCATACTATGACCCTGGTAGGCGGCCTCACACAAAGCTGTGAAGCCCTCCGTGGTGGTTTTGTCTTTGTCCGCACCTGCACGGATCAGCATCTGCACAAACTCCAGGTGAAGACCCTGTGCCGCGAAAATCAGGGGAGTGCAGCCATCTTGCGCAGCCTTGTCAATGTCGCAGTTGCATACCTTGATCAAAAGTCGTCCAACAGCTAGGTGGCCTTGCTGCGCGGCGAGAGAAAGCGCTGTGACGCCTCCATCTCCTGTAGCGTTGCAGTTAACACCCGCAAGCACAAGCAGGCTTACCACATCTGCGCGACCTGTAAGAGCTGCTAAAAGAAGGCCATTAGACTTAGCATCAGCAGAAGCACCTGCCAGCAATAGTAGCCGGACAACTTCGAGGTTGCCCAGATAGGAAGCCAGCCCTAATGCTGTAGTGCCAAATGAATTTGCACGATTCTGGTCTGCCCCTGCCCGCAGAAGCAAGCGCACCACTTCTAGGTGGCCTTCCTGCACAGCCATGAAGAGGGGTGTAGCACCGCCAGTGCCGGAAGCATCGGGGTCAGCACCAGCATCAAGCAGTAAACGGGCAATATGCCGATGATTTTCTTGCGCAGCCAGAAAAAGGGGTGTGGCACCTTCTGAAGTCACGGCCTTACTGGTGGTTAGTAAGGAATAAAGGGATACAAGTCTTAAGTAATCCTCATATACCATCTTCCCTTATTCCCTACTAACCTCCAGTAAGTAGCTTCCTTGCCAGCCCCTTGAACAAGGAGTAGACGAACCATCTCCACGTGGCCTCCTAAGGTCGCCAAAGTCAGAGCAGTGAAGCCATCTACCGATGCCTTGCAAATTGTTGAAGTACTACGTCTAGGGTGTAGGGTTCAGGGTTTAGGGGGGTTTAGGGTTTAGGGGTTTAGGGTACTACTGGGATGCTGTTAGGGAACTTAAGTTAAGTTACTTTGATAACGACAGCCAATTCGCCGAGGCTATCCAGCCTCAGGGCGTTTGGATCCCTCTAAGACCCCATCTACTCCCCTTGCAGACCATCTCTCTGCCCGGGCGACCCCCCCTCCCATGGGATGGACTAAGCCCAGCCAACCCCCTTCATGAATGCTGGAACAGGCATGCAACAAACACGTCTGAAGTGAGGCTTGCCTCCATTTACCCCTCGACCCTAAACCCCACATGTCAACTGCATGCCCCTGCCAGCCGAGGCGGGCTCGCGATAGCGCTTATAATTATTTACTATATATATATATATATAGCCAGCTTATGGTCAGTGAACTTAAGTTCGGTAACAGCAACCCAGATTGTCGATGCTCAAAACCTGCCTGACCTTATCCCCTTGCGTAGAATGGGGTTCTTGTCTACCAAGCTCATGCAGGTCTTCTTGTATCAACGATCATCCTGCCACCAATATTTCACTCGGGTATACATCGACAAGTGCAGTGTTTATGGGTTCCCTGAACCCCCCTCCCTAAACCCGAAACCCTAAGCCCTAAACCCTAACCCTAAACCCCAAACCCAAAACACTAAACCCTTCTGGGGGTGTCCTTATAAATTAGGCTTTGGGCCAGGGAACCTGGGTGAGGCTGGATATTCTGGAATCTATAGAATGCCGTTGAACTCTCTTGCCCAATAACCAGCGTTTAGGGTTTTATAGAGAACCAAAAAGGAACCCCAAAAAGGTTGAAGTTCTTCTATTGGCTACGCAAGTTCACGACTAAACACTAAACCCTAAGCCCCTAAACCCTACAGCCCAGATACCTCGTTGACAGAAGCGCCCTTACGAAGCAGGACTTGAGCCGCTTCGACAAGGCCTGCCTCTGCATGTGGCAGACACAAAAACCCTAAACTCTAAACTGGGTTGCTGTTA